ATGTGGTCCACGCATTTCTCTTTGATCAGACTGATACAATATTTTAATATCAAACCAAACTTTTAGTTGGAAGAATATCGTCATCAACAGAACTTGTTGCCAAGTATTGGGCTGCTGATCAGCATTTCTTCAATGCAAAAAGAATCCTATGTTAGATATGAAGAAATGTCTGCAGACACCACATGGTAGAGTAAGAGGGTTCAGGGGCTGGAGAGCTTTGACTTTTCTTTGGGCTCTTTTTGTCTCTTCTATTTATCTTCTGGATTTTTCAAAGGATGTTTTTGTTTTGTGGTCTGCTCTTCTTTAATTGTTCCTTTCTGCAGGTTCTGTCCCCCAATGTCTGACATTCAGGCAAGATGTCCAGCCCATTGAAGTCAATGGTGATTCATGATTGTTTCTAGGTTCTCCATCTTTGCACAGAGAAGAACTTTGTTGTTCATGATCTGGTCCTGCCACATGTTCCATAGGATTTGACAAAGTTTTATTTGAGGGAATTGTAGATGGAATTTGAAGAATCATAGATGGAAGGAGAATATTGTCAATAATTAATTTGCCTTTTTAGTAGCTTTAGTGCCTCTCACGTACAAATTTACAAGGAAGCACATTTAAAGCCTCAAAATTTAATTTTTACAAATCATATTTTTTTCTAACCAAGATCTTTATACTGAGCAGTTATAAAAAATCTCTGTTTTTGTAAATTCAGACAATTAAATCAAGGTATTCGAGAAAAAGCGATCAGTTACCACACTGGTTATTAAAGATTTTGCTTTTAGGTAAAAGGGGAGGCATAGAATTGTAATTTTATTTTCACATATATTTTTTCGTTTTAAGAATGAGGATAGATAGGCGGAAAATAGGCCTATCATAAATCGTGAAAAACAAAATGTGGCAAAATTATTTTTTGTTTAAAATAGATTCATAATACAGGTTTGTAGCAATATAATTTTTGTTTATGATATATATAGCTTAAACTTTAATTTGCAGCAAAATTTAAACTAATCAAAATTTAGGTAATGATCTTCAGTCACTTTTCAAATTCGATTAAAAAAATATTTTGATTTTTGAAACAGTAAGTTAAAACTTTTTGTGCAAGACAATTTTTTTTATCAGATTCAAAATATTCAGTGTTTCCCCCGTTTCACATTTTTATATATTTCTTTATTTTCATTGGTTTAAAATTTAGTTTCTTTCTTGAAATTGGATTCTAAAAATGAACGATTCTAAAACGATTTTAGAATTAAAACGTTTTTGCCTTTAAAAGTTAAAAAATAATACGTGACACCGATTATTTAAAGAAAACACAGTTATCTCCCCTGACAACATTTTCTTACTGACTAATCTCTAAAATAACAGTTATTAATGATAATTTTAAAATTTATAACATTCTCTCTTCCTATTTAGATTTTTTTAAATTATATCCTTGAATTCTATTGACATTTAATAATGTGAACTGTTAATTTCTTTTTTTTTTTTTTGGCTGAGAGGAGAAACTGATTTCAATCGTGAATTTTCATGTGGCCCACCAGATGTTACTCAGGAAGAAGAAATGAAAACAAACACACCGGTTTAAAAGAAAATCTGTTTGTTTTTTAGCTGATGTGGTTTTTGTTTTCTTTTTATATTTATTCTGTCTTTCTAATTGAAAAGTTTTGAAATCATCCCTTGCCTAAAATCATGGGTGGCTACTTATGCTGGACGATTCCCTGATGTTGGCCAAATATGTGGTTAGAAGTATTTGAAGCCTGCATGACGACAAATTCTTACCTAGCAAAATTATGGACAGAAAACGTGGAGGAGACAAAAGCCATTGTTTTTATTGTTACTAGACACAAACAAATAGAAATGGCTTTGCAATATTTTGATGAAAAGTGCCAGCCTCTTCGCCAGGTTATAGAAAATGTCACTTTTGGTGTATGTAGCGGCGACGAAGGGTCGGTGTCCGACAATAAACCTCAGAAGTGGGATGGCCGTCTTTTAAATGAAAATGAAAGCCGGAAACAATCGTCGGATTCTCTGCATTTAGATTTGTCTTCCAATTGTATCAATGGAAATAATCATTTAAAAGATTGATTACAGTGGTGAAAAAATGTCATCTAAAACGGCATTTTCCGTAACTGCCGATTCTATGTCTAGCACAATGATATTGACAAACCCACAAGAAAAACTTATAACACCAACTACTAGTGTTACTAATTCTAGTCCTTTAACTGAAAGTGAAATCTATGATAGAAAGACTGGTCAGTATTTGTTTCTGCAGACACACAATAGTTCGCTCCAAGCAGACGACGAGGAAGACTTGAAGCCGTCATCGTCCATTATTGCTTTCGATGACAACTACCAAGTTTTGCAAAAAAAACGAAAACAAATGGCAATCGTTGCCCAAATACCAACGATCTACAATATGTTTAAATAATGCAAATAAGAGTAGGCACGATGACTCTACAAATAGCATTAGGAAAGACCTTCCTGGGCAAGAAGATTACTTGCTTAAGATCTCACTAGAAAATCTTCGTATCTACCTTTGTGAAAAGCCAAGCTCTTCGTTTGATGTGATCTACTCTTGTTCAAACAACTTCGAAAAGCTTAAATACCTCAAAGTGAAAGAGAAAGAATATCCAAGTGTAAGAATCTCCTGTGCTTTTCAACAGGGTTACTACTTGGAAACGTTGTTTCCCGGAAGGAGAATTCGTAACCAGTCTGGTAAGAAGAATTATGCAGAACACCTTCAAGAATTGAATATGTCCCTCTCTTATTCGCGACAACTCCGCCAGTTTTACAAAAGCTTTCGTTATTACCGGCGATTCCTTCACTTGTATGTGCCCTTGAGGACAATTTTGCGCAATATCACACGAATCAGAGAGAAAATTGATCTGTCCGAAGATGAACAACTTTTTTGGAGTTTGATGCCAATAATTAATAGTTTAAGGATTTTCTACGAATGTTATAGTTATTGGTTCGGATTAAAGCTCTGCGACGTCTATACAATATTTGATGTAATAGACAACTATCCGGCTGGTACAGTGGATCAATTTTTACAGAGCAAATGCGTCCAACTGTTTCAGTGTGAAAGTTTTGTTAAAGCATTGAATTGGTTGCAGAATATTGCAGATAGAAATAAATATTTATTAGTTTATAAAACACTTAAACCGAGCACATTGTGTCGTGGTAGAGAAAGACGAGGCTGGATGGTCATATGAAAAGTCATTTGACAGATAAAGACAATATATTTGCTGGATTTTATATTTTTATTAAACATCATTAAATAAAATCTTTGCTAATTTGTTTTTTTATTTTAAGTAATCAAACAAAATACAACACTTGATTATCGTTTTACACCTAGAAATAATAACGATATATTTTATCTACTGGAATCTATATACATATTTTGGGAAAAGACACGATACTAACTTTTGATGTCCGATTGGCCACAGATGGGATTAGGGCAAACTGTTTTTTTTTTTAGCCTTTAGACAAATACTGCAAAACTAATTGAAAAGTCATTTTCATCAAATTTTCCTAAAAAAAAAAAAAAAAAAAAAAAAAAAATATGAGGTTTTCTTATTAATAAAAATGAAACGTAGGCCTCCAAATTTAGTACAAGTCTCACATTCTTGGAAATGAAAGATTATAAAAGTAACTTTTGATGATTTTCTTTTTTGTAATGTTGTGTGATATATTGGAGTATATCAATCAAAAGTATTTTCGTTTTTTATTCACCTCTTTATTTAAGTTTTTTTTACATGATTTATATTGATTATTCTAGCTTTTCTGAATGTTTTTCAATGCTAGAGTAGGTTCATCACTACCTTTTGTTTTAAAGCAAAATGATGTTTACTTTTGGGTTAATTTCAAGGAATAAACCGCCACTCTTAAAATGCTTAAACAAATCTTAAGCAATAGTCAGGTGGTGTTTAATTTTCTTGCAATTCCCAAATGCAGTGTTATGGTCCAATTTAAAACAATGCCTGAAAATGAACAGAATTGTTGTCTTATTTGTATCTATTATTCTAATATTTGAAATAAAAAAGGTACAAATGTTAATATATCAGACTGTCTTTAAATATGTAAATAAAACAAGCTTTGGAGTAAAGTAGAGAAAGAATAAAAGAATTAAAAAATACTTTTGATTTACCCAAATAAATGTTAAAATCTCTTGTAAATATGTGACAATTCTTTTCAGCTGGAGAAAATTAATATTTGTAGAATTCTTTTAAATTTTATTGTACAATTATAAAATACAATATGTAACCATATAGACAAGACAAAGTAACCACTGAAAAGTATTAGGTCAAACCCACAAGAACTCAAACAAGTTTTATTGAAATCACTCAACAATTATTTTTTTTCAGTTTTCCAGTTTGTGTGTAAGCTGTTATACAGCCAGATAAAATTAAAAAAAAAAAAAAAAAAAAATACCCCAAATTCCTTATAATTTAAATCATAATGTCATTATCAAGAATGCTAATATTATCAGTTAAATCGGGAAAATGTTTTATTAGCTCCATGTTGGCATTTTAGAAATGTTATAATTTAAATATACATGTATGGCTGAAAGCATAAAAAGTAGATATCATTATAAAATTAAAGCATTGAGACAATCTGATAAAGTTAGAAGTAAAGAGACTGTAAAGGGTTAAATTTAGTATTTTTGTTACAAAACAGATTAATTTAAAATTAGACTTAACTTTATTCTTCATACCAAAAAACATCATGGACCTCAAGAAATAATTAAAATCCATATCATATCCACCATATTCTATAAAATTATGGGTGAGTGGCAACCTATGTAGGAATGCATCAAACCTGGCTCATCTATACATCCCCCCCCCAAAAAAAAAACATAAACACACAAGAGAAATGTCTAGAAAATAATTTATTTACATATTAAACATTCCTTGTAAGAAAATGTTAAAACTCAACAAATGTGATGATTCCAAATTCAAGTGTTTCTTCAAAAAACTTCAAAGATAAATTAAAACTCCCACTGCCATTAACACTTTTCATTTGAAATATTCATGTTCCAAAGCATCTTCTGCAGTGATTCGAGTATTGGGATTAAGGTCAAGCATTTTGACCAAAAGGTCAAAAGCCGAATGTGTTACAGCTTCAATGAATTGGGAGGCAGTTTTATTTTTGGTCTGGGTGCCAGGCTTAAACTTTTCATTAGTTTCCACATTTCGTAAATTGAAGCAGAGATTCTGCAGGTTCATCGATTTTGTTTGAGGCAAACAAATTAAATCTTTTCCTGAAAAAAAAAAAAAAAAAAAAAAAAAGTTATCAGTTTTTCAATAGGAAAAAAGGAGGAAAATTTTCAGAATAAAAATAGCAAACAAAACAAAGTTTTACTTTTAAACCACTATTTTTGACTAGTTTAGTCACATTTGACATAAAAAAAAAAAAAGATAAAAAAAAAAAAAGAAAATATCTTTTTTCACCCTCCATTTACTATTATAAAACAATTTGACAACATCAATATCTGTAAACAGAAGACTAACAACAGAACTGCTTCCACTCCCAACCAAGATTTTATCTTATTTTTACCACTTTTTCCAATTCTGAACTGTTATCCATTACACCACCCACACATCCATACAGAATCTGGTCTTCCCAAATGATCGTCCATCTAGGTTTAATTTTAGTGATCATATGAGAACCAACATTTCAACATGATATGGCTGTAAGCCCCCCCAACCCTACCTCAGCAAGAAACAAACTCACTGTCAATAGTTTTAAAGATAAATATCACAACCCCACTTAATTATTCAATTTGACCCCCCCACTTTTTTAACACGTTTACTGTCAAAAACAAATCGTTTGTAGTCACCAAATGCTGGAATTATGAAATGGTAATTCCTTACCAATTATTTTGGCTGCATTTTTCACAGGTTCACTGCCCATCAATGTGATGATTTGAGCCAAGGCAGTGAGGTCATCATTAGCCTTAAAAAATGGATAACGTCCACTGAGCAGAGATAGAAAAATGACGCCAGCTGACCAGATATCAACACCTGAATTAAAAAGAACAAATATCTAGTCTTTTTTACTGTTTTATATTACCAAAATGCTGTCCCAAAAAGAAAAAAAAAAAAAACAAAAACAAAACTTTAATAACAAAATGGTCCAACATTTTTGATGCTAAAAATAGTTTATAAACATTTTCAACATCCCTGTTATGCTAATTTGCAGCATGTTTTTTTACACACACACAAGATTGTTGTTGAAACATTTCTTAGAAGAAGCCCTACAAAATGTGTTCTGATGCTTAATCAGCTTCGCTAGTTTTGGAGGAAAGGGCTTGACTGAAAATTTTTCAGCATCCTCCATTACCACATTATTACCATGTATATTTTGCTTCAAACTTTTTGCTATACAAGAGTTAACCATTTTCACTATTGTTATAATGAAGACACTGCTATCTGGTGTTACTAAAGCAAGGGTGGATATGAAGCCAGGAAGTGAAAAGAGTACTGTGAAACAATAAAATAAAAATAAATGGAAAAAATCTATTTCAAAACATTTACATGGGAAAATCTAATAAAGAATCAACAAAAGATACAGTCATTTTTGATGGCACAAATAAACTGTAAAATAAAATTTGTTTCAATTTAAGTAGAAGAAAGTTTTGATGTTGCCAGAAATTTTTGCATATACAAAAATTAAAGCAAATTTCATTTGAACTTTTTTCTTTCTATACATAGATTTATAACAGACTTTTTGATTTTTATTTCAATGGATTCCTGACTTGTATATAATACATTTAAGTGTCATGACAGGGGTTAAAAAAAATTCCATACTGAATTGGAAAGGTTACTAAATTAATGAAAATTGTTAAGTTAACCAATTCATAAAACACACAACATTGAGGGAAGATTTAACAGAAGTAGTGTGCACTCAGAACACCAGCTTTTTTTTTCAGTAATAGTTTTCAATAATCATTACTTGGAATACAGGCAGATTTTATGCTTATTAGCATGCTTTTCCAAAATAATATCAAATTATCCAACATTTCAAGTATCAAAACAAGGACGTTTACTAAAACAATGAATCAAAGACATTCTTTTTACTTTTCAAAATGGTTGAAGATTTGACAAATATGCAGTACTTGGCTGTTAACTTTAAAAGGATGTGGAACACATATACACAGAGTCAGGTACTATATATGTGAAAATATACAGAAAATAGGAAAGAACTCGTTAGATAAATAATCCAAAGTTCTTTAGTATTTTTGTTATTTTTAAGAAATAGTGCTCGATACAAAAGTAGAGCATAAATATAATTATTTATTTAAAAATATGATTCCAACACGCTACATAAGAGTTCTCATGTTTCAAAACAAGAGCCGAATACTTCAATATAATTATTTGAATTAAATTGAATTAAAGTAAGCTCTGTTCCATCTTCAAGCGAAATTTTTTTGGGAATAACTTATTTCTGAAATTTACGTGTTTTAATAGCATATTCATTATTGAAATCAAAGTTTCCATGGTAACAGCTAGAGCGATTGTTTAAATAGAAAGGGGTGTAGGGTGTTAATAATTTGTATCAGTATAGAGTTACATTCATAGATGTCAAGTCAGGGTAAGGTTGGGGTGTCTAAATTTAAAACGGAAGATGATTTCACCGAGTTTGGTTTACGTGGCTATGGAGATTTATTTATTTTTTTTAATTTTATTTTTTTCTGAAAGGGTTTTGTGTATATAAAAAAAACAGCCGTAACATTTGTTTTTTGACGACTTCATAATTATCCATATTGTACAATCAACTTCATTTAAACATAATTCACTTTTCAAATATTAAAACATGTTTTTTTTCATATAAAAAAAAGATAGAATATGATGTTAGGCATTGTTCGCTTCAAGTTGGGTATCAACAACATGGAAATGGTGAAAACATTTGTGGATTTAAAACAAAGAACAAATTGGGGATGTGTGAAATTCAGGAAGGCGCAGCAGATAAGCAGTTTTCAGTTGCCAAGTTGACTGTACAATTTATCATGGAAAAATATTACAAGACAAAAAATGTTGGATGAAGTGATGGGACTAAAATGGAATTGTTTGGTCAAAATCAAGCAGAGTGAATGTAAGGGAAATGGAAAAAAGACATGAAGCCTTACGAATACCATCTCTTGTGTAAAACATTGGGTAAGCAATCTTATGCATTGGAGATTTTTAGTGGAAATGGAATGGGTCATTTCTTTTAAATTGTCAGAACCGTGAAAAAAAAAAAATGTGTACTGCAATATTTTAAAGGAAAATATGAAAGATTCCACTAGGCAACTTTTTTGAAACAATGATCTTAAAAACAAATGCACTGGGAAAAATTGACACAAAGACAAGATTAACTTGGCCTGTAATGAATCTGGATCTGAATTGAACAGAAAATTTGTGGTCAGAACTTAAAGTTACAGTTCATTCACGACAACCTTCAAATTTAATAGAGTTAAAGTGCTTTGCTTTCAAACAATAGAATAGGCAGTAAGTAACTAATCTATTACAAATTTCTAACTATAGAAAATGTTTACTTAAAACTTATAGGCTAGACAAGCTATGCCATTGACTATTAACTGAAGCGTCTGGATAACTTTTTTCTTGCCTATTTTGATCCTGTTATTTTCATGTTTCTGTATTGAATAAAATGTTTCCAAAATGGATTACGGCGTATATTTGTGTATAAGCCAACTTTATGCAGAGCACAACTCATTAATTTTTTTTGCATTAATTGGTTTAAAATTAACGAAAAAAAAAAAAAAAATAATGCATTATACACAGAAAAAAATTTATCTGTGTATAGTGCAATCATTCACTGAAAATGCATGATTTTTAAACTTTTCAAAAAAACAAACAAAAAAGAAAAAAAAAAAAATTTTATCTGTGTATAGTCCAACCCTCTAATTTTTTGCATGAAAAACTGATCATAAAAATTGGCACTATATTTGACTATATATGGTAAACATATAAGTAAATAAGTGTATATGGTAGGTATATTTATTGGAGAGCTAAGATCAGAATTAATTATTTGAAATTAAATTGTAGCATACGGATAATTTTACACCCCATTATATCCACACAGTGCATACATATAAAAAGGAAAAAAAGTGCCCCAAACTTACTTGTGGTTTGATGTGGATATTTCATGAGAACTTCCGGAGAACGAAACCCTGGAGTGCCAGCCCGAGGAGCAATTTGATTCACTCTGGCAGAAACAGGAGAGGGAAGGGAAAAATATTTGGAATTTGTTTATTTAAATATTATTCATTTTTATAAAATACTATCCTTAATCATGCATAACAAAAAACATATTGATGAAGATATTAGTCCATGGAATAATGACAATGACATATTTGAGAATTTCAAACAATAAGATCATTTGTGAGGATTGAGCAATAACAAACAAATAAAGAAAGAAAAACAAAATATATTAACCTAAGCAATGTGAAGTGAGAGGGGGGTGTAGGAGTCCTTAAGGATACACAGTGAGAGAGGGAGTGGGTTACTAAGGGCAGGTTTATCAGTGGTAAGAGAGTAGGGTATCCTTGGGGATACACGTTGACATAATAAAAGACAAGTGCAAATCACTTACTTCTCTGTACAAATTCGACACACCATTGCTTTACCAAAGCAACTACAAGTGATCAAGCGACTGGAGCTCTTTTGAGATGAAGAAGACAGGCTGGAACGTGCCTTTGACATTGCTTGCTTCATAAGTAACAGTTGTCGTGGAGAGCGGACACTTCGAGATGTGCTGCCAGTTGTTACTGAAGTGGTATTCTTGTGGGATTTGTGTCCACGCTTATCTAGAGCTAAGGAGGGACCTTTGCTGGCATTCAGACTCCTTAAAGGGCCATGGCTACTAGCCTCCAACTGTAAAAATATATATTTTATATATATATATATATATATATATATATATATATATATGGAGAGAGAGAAGAAACAAGAAAAAAAAAAAACAGTATTTCTTTTATTTTATTTCTCTTGCTTTTACACCTAGTAGCAATATTTTTTTTTAATTTCAGAAATTAAATATTGTAAATTATTCATTTTTAACTTTATTGATTAGGCCAGAAAGCAAAAGAAATGTACATTATTACAGAGTATAAATGGAGAGAACTGCAACCACACTAAGTGATACTGCTGTTTTTTTGAGTAAGTAGTGAATTTTTACAGTAAAAATTACCCAATTTACCCACAGCTGAAGGAAGAAGTGGATTCATGCCTTTCACAAGAACATTAATGTAAATTGAACACCAACTATCCAGGTAAATGTGAATTCAGTATATTTGATTAACCATTATGCCACCCACATCTCCAAAATAAGACATACTTATAAAAAATTAATAACTGACATTTCAACTATGGCTACAATAGTTTGGTTTGTCTCCACTTGCTTGCTGAAAAAAAAACAAAAAAAAAAAACAGCATAGCATGATAAAAAAAGGTCCCAAACTTAAAAACAAAGTTTTATTGTCAAAATGTTTATGTTATTATTAAGAGGAAAGACCAAGTATTTTTTATTATTTTTAAAAACTTTTTACTCCTTTCATGTTAAAATTTTGTTTTTTTATGCCTCAAAGGTGTAAACAGAGCTGACTATGGAAATTTTAGCACCGTTTTTCTGGTAAAATAACACATTAATTTGGAAATTCTTGCAAAAATCAAATAATTGTCAGATTTTAATGAAACTTTCAGGACTTATTCACAAATGAATGAATTTATATTTTTAATGATTATTTTTTAAATAATATTTATAATAAATATATATATATATATATATATATATATATATATATATATATATATATATATATATATATATATATATATTACATGTTACTCTCCACTTACTTAATTTCATGAAAGTTTTAGAAATTAAATTTTACCCTTTATTTGTTTTATTAGTTAATGCAGAACTGTAAATTATCCATTTTATTTTTCAAACAGTTACAAGGTTCCTGAAACTCTGCTGATTCATAAAAAAAAGACTGCAATAAAACTATGACATAGTCTGAAGAAAAAATTTTTTTGATGAATAACCAATTTTTACAAGAATTGTTTTCAATTTTTTTTTTTTGTAATTATAATTTATAATTTTTTTAAAATCTTTTAAAAATTCTTCAAAAGTACTACTTCATTAGATTATTAAGTTATTAAGTGAAGACTATATTTACTAAGCAAAAATTAAAAAGCTTAACACAAATCATCATGCACCAAGATTTTAAAATTAATTTTTTTTTTTTTATGTGCATAAAACATGTTCATTTTGAAAGTATGGGAAATCATACATGACATTATCAAAAAATAAGATCAATCATGATAGTAAATTTAAAGTCAACATTCCTAAAATTAGATTACAGTGAATATTTTCAACATTTTTAAGATTACTGAGTACTTAAAAATTAACTAAAAGAGGTGTACACCCATCATTGTCTTAAATTATGTTTTAATAGATAAAGTCTCTGTAGAACAAATAAATCTGTCAACATCTTCAGATCATTTGTTAAGTGATTGACAGGTGATAAAAAGAACGTAAATCACAGCTTCAAATCAAATTAATTATACTTTAAATCAGATAATATTCCTCAAATAAAGTTTCAGAAAGTATATTTTATTTTTGGAAGATTTTTTAATAAAAAAAATGAGATTGCAATGACAAAAAAAAAAAAAAGTTGCTAATCAGCTATTTTTAGCCAAAAAAAAAAAAAAGGGATAAAAAAGTGAATCGAGCTCCAATCAATATAATTTCTGTTTGAAATAAACTACCGAGTATTTTGGTTACTGGAAATAGTAACTTTAACTTTCAATTGAAGCTAAAATGAAAACTCCAAGAAAGTTTTTTTAAATTCATTTTAAACTTTAATTATCACAAAAATTGGATGTATCTAGTGTTATGAATGCAGATAGCCCAAACACGCATAGACGCATATATTAAGGTTAATCTCCACTTGACAACAGAAGAGGTCACGTAGGAGTCTCGAGACATTTTGGGAGAAGCAAGTCAAGAGGTTGACCGACCCAGTTACCAGTAGCAACAGACGTCTAGACAGAATCTAGACAGGGGACTGACGTAAGGTCATGAAGCAGCAGGAACTGGAATTCGCACCAAAATGCAGGACACGTGGGAATTAGAAAATTACTTGGAGGTCAGTTGCTGTCTTGTCTTTGAATGAGCAAGACTCGAAATCGAAGCGCTGATAACTTATGAACGGAAAGATGAGACTCATTTTGGTAATGATGGAACTTGTCCGATTCATCATAAGCAACTCCGGATAAGAAATATAAGGATGTATATTTCTGTTCGTTAACTCCAGATTGAAGAAGATAAATCGAGTTATTTATCACAGAAGACGCAAGGAAATTTGTACGCTGAGAATACAGCCTGTGTTTGAAAGAAAGAAAAGAGAAAACCAGAGAGAGGAAGAAAGTATATGTCTCTGTTGCAGCGGGACCGTGTGCGAAATTGGATTTGTATAAAGAAAAAGAAAGAAAGAAAAGAGGAAACGTGAGAGAGAAAAGAAAGGACAATGAGTAAAAGAGAGAACTGAATATAAAGATAAGTAACTATATGTTTTGGACCCGAGTTAGAAAGATACACATGCATCCATAAACTTTATGTTCTCACAAACACCTTTCCACATGTCAAAACAGAAATATGTAAATCCTATCCCATCTCTTTTGATTATGTGTTGATTTCTGCATTCGTAGTTATTCATACTTATTTTTTTATCCGTTCGGCTTCAGTCGAATCCACTTGGATTTGGGCATATTTTGGTATCCCAACATAAGTCTTGAGATTCTGGTCATCGGATGCTTTCCTCATGCTTATATTTTTCTTTTATTTTAATATCTTGTGTATATGCATATATTAAAATTCTTATACCAAAATTTATTACGCCTTATTGTTCATACTTGAATTGTGGATCAGTATTTGTGTTGAAACCGAAGCGAACCTGGGAAAAGATTACTGTTTGATTATCCCAATTGAACAGTGTTCTTTTAAATATTTTTGTTTACTAATTGTCCATTTGTCATGGTCTGGGAGAGATAGCCTGTATCTCTCCATCGACGTGATAATGTATATATCTCCTGGTCGGCATATGATTGCATTATAGATTATTCGTCGAGTAGGGCATATGACACTAGTTTAAAAGAATATCAACTCCTTATGAGCCATTTAATGCCAAAACTTGGGAGCTATGGTATTTTATTTTTTTTTACTACTGCTGGAAATTTTTATTATAAAAATGTATTTTTATACTTTGATAAGGTTTTGACCCCAGTTTCAGGGTTCACTATTTGCCCATAACTGGGACCCTAACAGGTGCTACCACCCCGGATCAGGGTGGACCTGGGAACAACAGCAATTAAGAGATGGTTCTATGTTCCTCAAAAACTCCTGATCAGAAGACTTGCTGCCAAATGTAGTTTATCATTATATCCAGGATGATAGTGTTAGAGTAGATAAACAAAGATGTTTTCAGAAAACTGAAATAAGTACTGTATGGCAGGAGATATGAATTATTGTAACTGACTGACTTTCACTGCACAATAATAATAATAATAAAAAGAGAGGCTCTAAAGTCTCAAAGTCTTGATTTCCATTCTCTCTTGTTGGATGAAAAGTTAATCTTTTGCAGTTGGAATAAAAAGCAAGTGAATTTAAAATTAAAGAAATAAGAATAAAAATTTAATAATTATCACCAATTCTTCTAAATATTTCAAATATAATTAAATCAATCAATAAAAAAAATATAGGGTTAATATATAAAATAAATAAGAATGTTGTAGGACCTAAAGGGATTCTTTAAAATTAACAATGCTGAAACATTCAACTGCCTGAAATATTCAAGCATCTAATTACTCAATTATCCTTTTTTTTTTCATTCACCTCACTGAATTAAAGAAAATAATACAAAATTCTTCTGACAAAAGTCAAAAGTGTTAGGAATCTTGTGTGAATGAAACCCCTCCACATTTCGCAAGATAAATAGAGAGAGAATGATCTTTGTTATTAGTTCAGATTTGTTTTAGAGTGGAAAAAAAATCTGTATTTTTAAAATAAAGAAAAAGAGCTGAAAAATTAGCATTTTCCTTCATTTTCAATTAAGAGAGTGACTGTTAAAAATCTATCCTATCAAGAAAACATATTTAGAAAAAAATACAGAATATTCGGGAAGAAAAAGAACTGTTTTACCTTTGAAGTGGTTTTGATATTCTTTTTTTTTGGTGACTGATGATAAATAGGCAACTCAAACTGTGTCCGGGCGTCATTTTTTTTCAAGGCCACTGGCGCTTTGTGAGCTAGTCCAAAATCTACTAAGGAAAATCTAGAAAAAAATAGATAAAAAAATGGCTGACCAAATTAATTATAAATAAAAGACAAGTATCTTCTATACGATAAACTATCATCTATACAACAAAAATTCTTTTAAATACTTTTGGAATAAAAAAAAAAAAAACAACAGAGAAATTGTATGACGGATCACGAGAGACTATATTTAATCTCTGAATTTATAAATTACGACTTTGAAAAGTGAATATTGAATTGTTCAGCATTTCAACATTACATGGAAATATAAACAGAGGAAAAAATAATTCCACGTCAACTTACTGCTGTGTTTTACGATTGAACAAGAAATTGCTTGGTTTCACATCTCTGTGAATAACATCATACTCATGAATATGTCTCAAAGCAATCAACAAATTTTTCATGTAATTTTTTATCTCGTCAGGTGTCAGGGACAACAAACAGTCCTAAAAAGGAAAAATAAAATATTCCAATTTACATCAAACTCAATTCTAAATCTGTCAGCAAATATTCTAAAACTTTTTAAAATTGGAAACATTCAAAACTTCACTAGGAAGAACTATCCAAATCTTCTATCCACAAAAGTCTAGGTATTTGGCTCAAATCAAGATAAGCTTACATTTTAAAAGAGAAATGACACATCATGGCCAAACTGAATTTCAGGAATAAAAATAGCATCTTTTTAGGAAGAAAAAATATTTTAATTCCTCAATATTATGATTATACATTAACTAAGAAAGATTGATATTGAACTGAATTGAGAGAAACATAAGAAAATATCTTTGTTCAGGGTTGGAAATATTTTCTTTCATAAAAATAAAATTTGCCTCAGACATAATGAACCTTAAAAGGTATGACAGTACTAAAAATTGATCCCAAATCAATGACACCTTCCTCACCTGCCTCAGAGTTGAGCTTTCTTGTTTCAAATGATCGTTATTTTTTGTAACTCCAAACTCACCAGTTTCATGCATCTCAGATACTTTGTAAATCTGAGTTTAACCCACCACAATGTGCACACACACACACATTTTTTCATTTAATTATTAAAAACATCAAAAGGTCTGTCATTGTGACAATATCAGCCATTGATAGAAATTAAATGTATTATGATACTGGAATAGAGATTGCAATCTAATTTCACACCAGATCTTCAAAGGAATCCAGGGGCAGGGTTGATCTGTGGGTTACTCCCAGCCACAAAATACAGAAGTTTGTGACCTCACACCTGCAAGTATTGCAAGTGTTGGACAGATGGATATATAAACATCAATCTCAGGGATGATTTGGAGCAGTTTATCACACACCACAGGTGGAGAATATAACGTCCTGTATCAAATCTGGGGTGACATTGCTGCATACCACTGACTGGCAATGAGTAACTAACAAAATATTACAATCAATAAAATGTTATATAATGAAGATTGAAGGCTCGTTATCATTTAACTACATTACATAAAAAAAATGTAAGGCCAAAACTGAAGTGACAAGTGAGATTCATCAAATTAGGCAAATGAATAAAGAAAAAAACTTTGATATGAAAGCAGCTTTACTGTAACAATGACTAAAAAAAAAAAAAAAAAAAAAAAAAGTAAATTATTTAAATATTTCTCAAAATTAATGTTTCCAAGGCAAGGACTGAATTAATTTGTTTTTTTAACAAATTTAAAAACAGTTTCTGGTCAAAATTTATATACTAAATGCAATATTTATTACAAGACAAAGATAGCAACTTTTGTGAGGGAGAGGTTGCTGTCCTCACAAAATAAGGATTTCTGATGTGAGTGTGTGTAAGCAGCTAACTCACCTGAAATCTATCATGTGGAAAATACGGCATCACAATGACAATATGGTCTTTACTTCGAAGACAAAGTTCTACTCCCATTACGTTGTTCTTACCTCTGAAAATATGAAAACATTTTTTTAGAGAAAAAATTTCATCCATAATTGCACAGAACAAAGATAATAATAAAAACAGATTAAATATACAAGTTAAATTTATTGTACTGTAGAAAATAATTGTGTGCCTAAGACAATGCCCAAAATTCTATAAAACTCATTGGAATAAAGATAACCACAAATAACCTGTAACTTTACCAACAAAGAACAGTGTTATTGAATACGTCATATACACAAAAGCATGCACTGCTTACGTGTCCCATAATTGTTAAATTTACAATGTGTATGCCAATCTAACAACTCTTACAGAAAAGAGGTAATATTTTTATCTAGAGAGAGAAAAAAAAAATACCAAGTAACATCTTTAAAGACTGAAAAAGGTAATGTCCACATAAAAAAAAAAAAAAGATAGCAGCCGAGATTGTATTTGAATTTAAGAAAGACAATAAAAAAGTAGGAAATAAAAATATTTAAATGTTAAGACTCCAGACAAAACAAGGCTAAAAACAAAACAAGGTTTTAAAATCAACATGAACAAAAAAAAAAAAAAAAGTGGGAAATAAGACAATTGTTTCATATTAAAAATTTCTTAAAATACAACATGGATTCCAGAAAACATTTAACAAATTTTTAAAAATATGAAGTACATTTAGCTGAAAAAAAATTTTTAATAAAAATCTTCTATCTTTACTTTTAAACAAAATAAGAAATAAATATAAAATGTTTACTAAATTAATTAAAAAAGTAGAGAATCGTGAAAAAATAGAATGTTTGAAGTTAAAGAAATTGAATAAGAAACAAATCAGAATTGCAATGAATTTAACAAAGATTTGATACCCAAGTTGCTGAAGACATTTTAGTTCTGTTTCAATTCGACTTGGGTGACTGGTAGGTATGATGTGTTTCAAGGCAAAAAGTTGATCTACTTTGGGATGATTCCGAAGTTTGGCTTGAAAAACTGAACTGAACGTTCCTGAAATAAATAAGTTTAGCAAAATCATGAATTCTATCTTTTCATACCTCATTGATCTACATAAGGTTTTAAAAGTTAACCAGCCCGAAAGAATGGCATTAAAATTCAAATAAAATAACCTAGTAAGACTTATTACATTTTAAGAAATGAATTTACAACTTCTGCAAAAATTGGTATAAATTCCGATTCAGAAAAATGAAATTGGCAATCACATTTCAAAGTAAATACTGTTTGCATCATTTTGTTCTAATACTTAGAAAAGGGATGAATCCAATACACCCTGCATTTTCATAACTTGTCATTTTGAAAATATTTTGTCACTAAAGATAACAATAAGTAAGGACATAGGCAATGCACTTAAAGAAGTAACATTAACACTAAGGGACATCTTGGTCTCTGTGCTAATGACAACGCCATCCCATTCTCAGCCATCGAGTGTGTCTGTGATTGAATCCTGCAGCTAACCGTAGACGGGTCACTTTGATCTAAGCCTTGCCTTGTCCCATGTTGTATTTGTTTTGATTACAAGGCAGGCAAGGATTGAATCATCACCAGATATCACTAGATTAGTGTCGTTCAGGTGGGATGATGTTATAAGACAAAAGAAAAAAAAAAAAGAAAGATCAACAAAGTTCATATAACTGAGGTTTATACAGGAATACTTTTTCATACAAGAATCTACAAGCATGCAGGCTAACGACTATTCCCTCGCAGTCTAATTTTGTGACACTTTGTTCTTCATTGCAAAGTTGGAGTCAGGGTTCCAAGCTTTAAGTCAGACTTCTTCGGGCAGCAAATTATGGAATGCTGACAAAGCATTTGTCTCCCTGTTGTTATATAGAGACATTCAATTCTTCCACTTAGCAATTTCGTTAGGGCAAACTCTACACAATTTATCTAATAGTCTGGAACAAGGCATGAGTCAGTAGTTCTCCATGGCAGCAAGTCACATGGGAATCAGTGAAGTGATCATCTCCACCTGGTGTAATGGAAGTGCATCTCAGCTGCTACTCACAATTCCTTTCTGATCTAACACTTATGGACCTTTGCCCAACATTAGAGTGGAGTTCAATATGATCTGGGGTTCCAGGGTTTTCTCAAATATCCAATCAGAACTTGCTGCTGACTGTGTCTCGGAAGCAATTTGCATATCCAAATTTGGAGAATCTTTCCTCCAAAGAGTAGTGGTAGCAGGGCATCGACCTGCTCCACTTACACCCTCCTTCTCTTATTCGTACCTTATACCAACAGCCCTCAATGAGGGTAGTCTATTTTACCCCACTCTCTCTTGTTCACCAATCAGGGGGTCCTTCGACTGGGTGGCATGATTAGCACATGTTCATTAATTAAATCATCACATCATCAGAAACAGTCTTTGTCATAAAGTCTTGATATTTTCCAGAATTCTCCCCTTGGACAATTATAATTCCTCCCTTGTCTTCAGAGGATGCTCATTCAAACTGTTATCTTACCAATTGACCAAATCCTTCATCATTCGCGTTCTGCATTGTACTTAAAGAAATCTCACTTCTCTAGTGACACACACACACACACACCTTCCACCCCTATCAACAAGTGACATAGAATTTCTTTACTCTCTTCTTCACTACTTATAGCAAAAAAATTATTATCTATGGATGGCTTGGTAGTTTCTGCCCAGACATACCAGTCCTGGTCGCTTTGTGGATGTTACTGCCCCCCCCCCACTGTCCCTTGGATTTCAGTGCTACCTTCTAGTGAGGCCCTTTATTCACAAAATGAGAAAAAAAAATAAAATAAAAGTATATTTCTTTTTGTTTTCAGTATGTCCTTCAGTCTATTTATGATTGCTTTTGTGTTTACTTTCAACTTAATTTAAGCCTTTTTTTCTCTCTTCAAAATATTAGCATGCTTAGTATCAAATCACATCTATTGTTTGCCTTGACAGAGAGGTCATATAAATCCCTCATTAAAAGAGTACATGGGCTTAATGGTTAATATATTGAAATAACAACTGCTTATAAAACTAACTTGAAGGCATGAACCCAAAGGCCCATGTTCTGTGTTTCATTGTTAATCAGATTACTGATATGTCACAATAATTGAGAACATGAGTAGCAAACTTTATCATAATAGCCAATTAAAATAGCTACTCTATCCATTTTTAGTTTTAATCTGATGAACCTCATCAAGAAGAGACATTTCCCCAAAGCCTTTAAAGTGCACTGCTATGAAAATAATTTTATTCATAATTAGGAATTATTATATTTTGATTAGTTTTTCATCATCTGTTTTTGCCATTTTAGTTAGGAGAAAAAATATGTTTTAAAGCAGCAAAAATAGTGGAAAAAAATTAATCTCCAAAACAACAAAGTATTGAATACAGCAGTTGACCAAATCTGGTCAGCCACAATATTCTATAACCATAAAGGCAACATTCTATGACCATAATGGCAACATGGTGTTAGTATGGGAAATCCACTTGGCCCATGCTTCTCCAATTACTACATGTCCCATGTAGAAAATATGATATTTAAAAAGGTCTGTAAACCTAAAATATATGTCTGCTACATAGATGATATTTTTAAAGAAATAGATACTCCTAAGACTACATTTGAAAAAAAAAAAAAAAAAAAAAAAAACTGTCCTTAACTTTACCTACAAACTTAGTCAAAAAAATAAACTTCCATTCTTAGATGTTCTTGTAGAATATAGTAACAACACTTTTACCAACTCATTGAATAAAAAACCCACTAGTAGAAACTCTTGCCACCTTAACTTCAAAAGTGAATACTCACTCCGATAGAAAATAGCAGTGATAAAGAGCTTCCTAAAAAGAGCACACCAGAATTCATCCTCTCGACTACTCTTCCTTAAAGAACTCAATAATATAAAACAGACACTAGTTAATGGCTTCCCTAACCACCATATAGACCACCAAATTAGACTATTTCTCGCCAAAGTAAATAACAAGGCTAGTGAATACAGTCAAAAATAAATTTTCTACAAAAACCAAATGCACCTCAACTACAAACAAGATGAATCTTCACTTAGAAATATCAAAGAAATACACTAACACAATTGACCCAAACAAAATTTTGGTAAAAAATTTTTTTAATTTACATATGTTACCCCACCACTTACTTAATTTCATGAAATTTCAAAAAAAAAAAAAAAAAAAAAAAAAAACTTTCTATTCCCTGAATTTTTTTTTTATTCATTAAAGTAGTACATCTTGGAGAATCTAAAATTGCCTAATCTTTTTTTTTTTTTTTTAAACTTGCACTATTCTAACTGAATCTGCTCTTAATTGAAAAATAATGAATGCAATAAAACTATGACATTATTTAATTAGAAAAGCTTTTAATTGTTTTTCTAAATAAGTTATATTAAGGATATTATTGTCTGAAGAAATAAATTTTTCCGATGAATAATGAATTTTTACAAGAATTTTTTAAATTTTTTTAAAAATTTTAATTATAATAATTTATAATCGTGTAAAATCTGTATTGGGCTATTTCCTGAATGTGATATAGTAATTAAGTGGAAATGAAATTTATGAATCCAAAATTGAAATGATTAATAAACACAGTTACATTATTCTATTTTTAAAATAAATTTTTTTTTTTTTAACTTAATTTGTTTTCTATTTTCATCTATGAAAGTCTAAACATGACATTATTAGGAAACTGTCACATGATCTAAAAGTCTTGTCTCTTTACAGAAAAATCAAGAAAATTTTATAGTATTTTAAATTTTATTTTTGCATAAAGCATCTTCAAAAGGTAAATAAAAGTCAATAAATTATTAGATAATTGCGGAAAATATGTTCATTTGTAAAAATTACTAAGTAGTTAAAAAAAAAAAATGCATTCACTTAAATTCTTAAATTTAGTATCAACTCTAGCCACCCATATTAGCTGTCATTGCTTTGTCACTCAATCAGCCATCCATTATTGCCTCAGATAAAAAGGACCAATCATTAAATAAATGGTTGTATATTACTTTTTTATGCTATAAGTAATATTTATTTCAAATCAGATTAATTTAACTTTAAATTTTCTAATTTTACTCAAATAATGTATCAGAAATGTATATATTTTTTTTGAAAGAATTTTAAAATCAATAAATTTTTTGTTTACAAATTTCTCAAAATTAAGAAAATGGCTGCTTTTAAGAAAATTTTAAGAAATCAAAATTAAATTTGACATTCCAATCTATATAATTTCTATCTAAAATACTCTAGAATATTTTACTTGCTGGAAACAAATTTAATCATTTAGCTTTCAATTAAAGCTAAAATGAAATCTTCAAGAATGCTTTTTCATTTTTAAAAATTCATTTTAAACTTTAGGTATCAAAAATTTATGCCAAAATAGATAGTGGAGGTACCTAGCTTAATTGTAGTACCTTGTCTGCTGTCTTTAATGAAACATGTATAAATGTAGGATTGCTGCCTAAATGCATGCACACACACACACACACACACACACACATATATATAATAACTATATTTTCACTCCGTCTTGGCCTCCAAGAGCAAAAGGACATTTAAGGCCTGTATCACTTCAAAAATGTTTGCTGATCCTTGAACTAATAAGTACAACTGCAAAAAAGACAAGCATTTTTATACTTCCTTTAGTGCTTGTTCACTCAAGTACTATTTCTATGAATAATTTAGTTTTACATGAATGATTTCTTCTTGCCTTTACAAGAAAACTTTTTGCATTAATAAATTGTTAATAATGAAACCCAATAAGATATTTTGTATACCTTCTCCAATCTTCTTCATCACTTGGAAATGTTTTTTCAGTTCAGGTAGAAATTCATACATATTATCAATTTCTGTTCGCACAGAAGCTAAAAAGAAAAGAAATCAAAACTGACACATTTCCACATATGAATAACATGCAAGCTTAAATATTACATGAAACTCACAAACAAATATGTTTATATCTCATATTTCAGTGAATCAAAATGACTATTAAACCTTAAAATTTTACCCTGTACCTACAATTTAATGTGTGTGTGTGTGTGTGTATATATATATATATATATATGCACACACACACACACACAGTATATTTTTAATTAATGAAAATTAATTAAAAATAATTAAAGATTAATTAATTTTTTTATTTTTTTTATTTCAGAATTTTATTTCAACATTTATTCTTTTTTTATTTAACTTTCACATAAAAACGAAAGTTGGTATTAAAATTTGGATACATTTTTGGAATCCACAATGCAGCAAAACTCTTAAACTGTTTCTGGCATAGGTAGTTACATATTACTGGAAATTGATCAATATGTTCATTTCTCTCTAGAAATTGTGCATATCTGAGATCTAAATGAGAGATTTCGATCCATACCATCATGGATAATAAATGTCCTAATAATCACCCTTTACTGAAACAAATATATACTAAATACTAGTGAGAAGCTAAATAACAATGAAAATAATAAATTGCTAACAATGTTGTTGTTAAATAATAATAAATGCTGCTAATGATGATGTTGCTAAACAGAGCAAGGCTAGTAGATTTTGTCAAAGGTTTAAGCTCCAAATATGGTTACACATATGCCATCTTGAGAATTGCTTAATGGATGAAGAATATTTTCATGTTTACTTACCAGGTATATTCTCTACAGGACTTTCTTCCTTTTTATTTTCAAACCAGAATGCATCTTCATCTGCAGACATCTTGGATGCTTCAGTTTACCTTTTGATAATAAAAAGAAAATGTACAGTTATTTGCAGAATTATTAAACCATTCTACTTGACAACAGATTAACCATCTTTCAATCTTAATAGGACAAATATTATCCTAATATCTGTTAATACCGTAAATAACTCCAGTTGTTAAAACTGTGGAGATATTATTCACAAAAATAAAATAATGATATAAGAAAAACACATCTGGAGTAAGAATTAATTATTGCTTCAACTCATGAAATTCATTGTAAAATCCTCATCAAGAAATTAACTTAAATAAAAAAAAATAACTTAAATTTAAAAAAATAAAACAAAAATTCTCCTGAAATGATTATGGTTCAAATCCATTGAAATTTCTTAATTTCTATAAAATGGTAAATACTTTTTTCTCTAGATAACCATCTTTATTCTTTATATAAATGGCCAATGTCATTTTGTCAAGGAGAATGTATTGCTAGTTCCCTTCCTTCTTTCTGACAGCTTCTCTTCTTTTCTATTTCCCTTAAGGATTGAACTCACAACTCCAGAGTAGGATGTGGGGGTTATATGTTTACAGGTAGTTTTGGTGGGGGTTATCTTCAGATAACATCCTTAATCCAAATATACACCAACTTTTGACCTTTTAAAAATGCATGAAAAGATAATTAGTACAAAGATATATATTGCATGCACTGATAAAATTTTATATCTCTTAAAATATACAATATTTAAAGGGTTTATAAGTTCATATCAGAAAGTTCTTATGTTGAATGTCTAAGTCCTTTAAGAAAGAGAGAGAGAAAAGTATCCTTATAAATGTGTACGTACGCATGTATGTGTGTAAGTTTCTCTTGAAGTAATCCTTTCGACTCTGTGGGATTTTTAGTTGTCCAAAAATGTAGGCATGGGAGAACAGACAAAATTATTTCATTGACTGCTTGCTTTGCCTAGTCATCTCCAAGTTTATCACTTTTTCAAGACAAAGGAATTCATTTCAGAAATGTCTCTTGATTTCTGATTGGTCCACCAATGTAACTCATTTGACCATACCTATTTCTTCACCTACATTTAAGAGTGATGAGCTTTTGGACTCTATTTCCATTTTTTTTTTTTTAAATCTCTTTATTTTTATTTCTTTATGGCAAACCAAAATGGTTTGCCAACTTTTACTTTTCTAAATTCTGTATTAGTTTAGTATTATTTTTAAAATAGTAAGCTTTTTATTTTTCTATCAAACTGAGTGGCAGGAATTAGTTTCTTTATCTAGTGGACCAAATACACTTAGTATTAGAATTTAAATTGAGAACCACTACTACAGTGTTTTACAAGTTCATGTTCTTGCCTCTTTTCTGATCTTTGCCCCAACTTTCACCCCTGCTTTCAAATCCAGCTCCCAAAGTCTTTATCCTTATCAGAGATAAGAATATATTTCCTGACAAACAAGAGCACTGAAAAATATAAAAAGTAATTCAATCACCATTGCCCTGATCATGGTGCAATAAAGTCCATTAACTACTTGCTTCCAAAAACCATCTCCCAAACCTTTGATTTTTATCAGAGATAAGAATATATTTTCTAAATAGCAATTTTGGAGGGAAATGTTCCCAATATTCCCGAGCCTTCTAATCTCAATAAATACCAAGAATATGCACCTCTTTGGCAAGGAGTACTTGGCACTGTCTGTGATAACATCACGTCAGCAACAGTAACACCAGTCATCTTTGGAACCTGTTTCAAGAAAGAAATCTACATGCTGAGCTCAAAAAGAGAGAACATCAGCCCTCTACTAAAAATTAATCAAGATCTGCTTCCTTGGACCTAGAAATTCCTGTCATCAGCTTACAAATTCACTCAACTACAAACTATGGGGTTTCTGACTGTTTCCTCCTCAACAAGAGCTCTGAAGAAATTTTCTCTCATATTTTGTGTATATCCCTATAGCTTTTTTTTGTGTATGTAAACATTTTCTTCTTCTAGTGTTACACCCTGAACAGGAGTTTGAGTCTTTATTCTTCCACCTAAAAGAGAATTGTCCGCTCTAAACTTTCACACTGTTGATGCTTTTATTGATTCTGTCACCTTTAACCTTAACTCTTTCATGTGGGAAAACCACCATCTTTACTTTGTAGCAGTCTCTTATGATAATGTAGACAATACCACATGTTTGTCCAAGAAATATTGTGTTAAAACTCTTAAATTATAAATAGTTCAGTAAATAAACAAACTTTTCAAAATATATTTAACTTTTTTTTTTTATGACAGCAGAGTGAAATTTGAAATATAAACAACAACGATAAGGATACTAGTCATTATCCCAGATATTTTGTAGAATTGGATTGGAAGAGAAGGTAAGAAGAGTGATTAAAAATAGAATCAACAGGTGTTAAAAAAAAAAAAAAAAAAAAAAAAAAAAAAAAAGAAGTTTATTTTTCAACAATATTTCACGATTCATCTTGATTTTTTGTTCATAAGAAAAATTTAAAAAAAAAATAAAATAAAAATAGTCGTCACGGGGGTAGGTGGAATTGATTGACTAATTTTTCTGTTTTCTTCATTTACTTCCACAATTCAAGGACAATAAAATTACCTTTTCTTCAGGTAAAAATTGTAGAAAATGCAAGCTTCAGAATGACAACAGAAGAAAAAAAATTAACATATTGTGCATAAGCATCTGGAACTGGTTTTTTATTTATTTATTTTTAAATCAAACATTTCTGAAAGCAATGAGTGCGTGTCCGGGGGGGGGGGGGGCTTTCAGCAGATTTTTATTTTATATTCTAACAATTATTAAAATCCACGTGTCAATAGGCGTGATTAATTTTTGATCAGATTGAAATAAAGATGAACGATGCAAACAGCAAAAAACTCAAACATAAATGGTGAATTACACAATGCCATTTCCTCAATTTCTCCATCTAGAGAGCAAGTCTGGGAGAGAAACTAGGAAGAGTAGACGAAGTGAAAAACTTATTGAAAATATTTAAAAATAAAACCATGATAGATATCTTTGATTTTTTTTTTTATGTCGGATTTATTTAAAAAAAAAAAAAAAAACATTTTAAAAAAGGGTAAAAAGTAAACATTAGTTTTAACAAAAAGTTAAGTGCAATCATTCATTCAGGGTAGCAAGTTTATGATTGTGGTCCCAAAAATCTATGAATTAAAAATTTCAAATAGTAATAATTGTATTTAAGTTAATTCAAAAAGTGCAACATATTTTGAAAAATGTGCAACAATCAATAAAAAATAGATAAAAAAAAAAAATGTTCATAACTTCATCATGCAATAAATAACCAATTTTTAAAATAACAATTGATTTTTTAAATCGTCACAGAAGTGAAGTTGAATTATTTTTTTTTTTTTAAATTTACGGATAAAAATGTATTTTCAGAATAAAAGCTAGAAAGAAATTTTTAAAGAAAACTAAAAGTAATTCACTCCATGGATTGTTTCAAGTCAAGAAGACACATCATTATTAATAAATTAATATTATTAATTATTAAATTTTTGACAGTGTGTACTGTAAAAAAAAATGTAAATTATATCTCAATATGTCGTAAATAAATAATGCAGAATTGACTAATTTTAATTTAAGAGATTTATTTACACTTTTTTTACAGCATAAAGATTACAAAATTAGATTTTATTTGTTGTTTGTCTAGATTTCAATGCTTTAAAAATTGTATCGTAAACAAAAAAAAAACAATGGTGTTTTGTAAAAAATGCAGAGGTAATAAAAAACTTCAAAAATAAACCAATACGGAAAAAATAAGTAATTAATCAACATCTTAAATTAATAAGTGAAGTCAAAGTGGAATATTTTAAAAAGTTCGTCGACTTGTGTTTTGAAGAATTGATAATTTTAAAAAAATACAAAGATTTTAAATAGAAATAAAGTTAAAATATTTTTCATTTAGATGACTTTTTTTTTTTTTAATGTCAAAACAAAAAAATTAAAAAGTAAAAACGGATAAAAGTAGAAATACTTTAACTTTTTGCATTTGGTAACATTTATTCTAATTTACAATGATGAATAAACTAAAAATGCAAATAAATGAGAAATGTGTTAAAATTAGTTTTTGAAATTCTCACCACAAAATCAGAATTCCGAATGAGATCCAAATTTTGTAAATTTCTAAGAAAGTAATTTAGCCTATTAATAAAAGAACTTTTAGTTGAATTTTTCAAATGTTTTAAACTTCTGACTAAAATAAATGTATCTTTTGAAAGATTATTATATTCGATTAATTAGCTTTAAAGACATTTGTTTGTAATATAAATGCTAAAAATCGTTGAAATATTCTCTAATAGAAAAAAATTAAGTCTTCTTTAAAAAAAAAAAATGGAACAGAAAAGAATTCTAGTATTAAATAAATAAACCCTAAATTTTATTTTTTTTAATTGTGATGAAAAAGGTTGTATTCTAAAAAAAAAACAAAAAAAACGCTGTTGTATTTTACGTGGACAAATAAAATGTATTTTCTAAAATTATTTTACAATTAAATTTTAATTTAACTTAGAAATAATTTCAATTTCATGAATGGTGACAAAAGAAAAGGGTGTCATGTCTGGCGATAAACAGTCAGCAAGTAAGGAATAAAATAGCAATAGAATTACAGAAATTCCATATAAGAAAAGCCAAAAGTCTTACCTGGTCTTAATTATTTAAAATAATACTTTTATATGATAAATTTTCCACGTAATAGTGTTACTTTGTAGATCCCGCCAAATTTTTTGTTTATCATCAGCTGTTCAGCAGAAGTTATCGCCCCTTGTTTTATTCTCAAATTATCACCGCAAAATAACTTTTGTTTGACCGATTTGGTCAAATACTGGTGAACAGTGAATTTTTATAACTTACTTTAAGAAACAATAAAGTTTAAATAATGTTGGTGGGTTTATTGAATAAACCCACCAACATTATTTATATAATCATAGCAAAATACAATACTTTAAATAAATTGGTTATCGCATTTTATGGGAGATTTAAAATTAGCAACAAGTATTTT